CGCTTCTGCCCTCTCTCTCTCTTTCTCCTCTCTTTCCTCTCATGTCTCTCTCCTCCTGCCTCTTCCTCTTCTCTCTCTCTCCTCTCTCTCTATCTCTCTCTCTCTCTCTCTCTCTCTCCTCTCTCTCTCTCTCTCTGTCTCATTTCTCTCTCTTCTTCTCTATTTCCTCTCTCTCTCTCTCTCTCTCTCTTCTCATCTCTCCTCGTCTCTCTCTCTCTCTCTTCTATAGTATATATATATTATATATAAAATATATAATAATATAATTACTTATATAATTGGGTGTGTTTGCTGTGTCGGTGTGGTTGTATTGTGTGTGTGTGGTTTGTAGTGTGTGTGTGTGTGTGTGTGTGTGCTGTGTGTGTGGTGTTGTGTGTGTGTGTGTGTGGTGTGAATATATAATTATACCATACTCATAGTATATATATTATTTATATATATATATATATATATAATATATATATATATAATATATATTAATAAAAAAACACTAAATAACTGTGTCGGATAAATAGTCCTTGTCATGAAGAAAGAAATCACTAGAGCAATGAAAACAAATATTGCAATATCAAATGCAGAAATAAACACATAAAAAAAAGAAAAAGAAAAGCCAATGGCAACCGAAGACACCGTCCGCCTGCAACAGGAAAGCTTCCTTGCAATTGAAGATAAATTCAACATATTCAAGACTTCAAAACCCTGTGTAAAGAAATAAAAAAAATCATAGCCAACAAATCTGCTATAAAAAAAAACATATAGATTGATAGATTAAAATTAAAAAATTAGATTAACAGATTAAATAAAATAAAAAAACATTAGATTAAATAGATAAAACACAAACATTATAATAAACAGACAAAAAAGAATATATATAATAATACCAAATGAAGAATTAAAAACAAAATTAATAGAAACAATAAAATCAAGCTTCCTCGCCGAGAATTATCTGGCCCCACTTCGCACGCCCTTTCTCATTGTCCTCGGAGGCGTCTGAGTCCAGGGCAGCGTGGCGCTCTCGCCGCCCTTGGGTCTTCCAAACCATTGAGCGGAGGACGAAGGGTCGAGGGCGAGGAAGGGGTCTGAGGGTGCCCCGTATGCCGCTGCCTTACGATGTTGTTGTTGTTGTTGGTCTTCTTCTTTCCTTCTTCTTCTTTCTGTTGTGTTCGTTATTATTAATTATTCATTATTACTTGTTTTTTGTTCTTACTTCTTCTTCTCTCTTGTTTGTTGTTCTTCTCTATTATTATTATTATTATTACTTGTTGTGTTTCTTCTTCTCTTCTTGTTTGTTGTTGTTGTTCTTCTTCTTATTATTATTACTTGTTGTTATTCTTACTTCTTCTTCTTCTTGTTTTGTTGTTGTTGTTATTATTATTATTATTATTATTATTATTACTTGTTGTTGTTTACTTCTTCTTCTGCTTGTTTTGTCTGTTGTTCTCTTCTTCTTATTATTATTATATGTATGTTTTTGTTGTTTTGTTGATGATGATGATATGATGATGATGATGTTGTTTTGTTGTTGTTGTTGTTGTTGTTGTCGTTGTTGTTGTTGTTGTTGTTGTGTTTCTTTCTTCTTCTTCTTCTTCTTCTTCTTCTTCTTCTTCTTCTTTCTTCTTCTTCTTTCTTCTTCTTCTTCTTCATTCTCTTCTATTTTTCTACTTTTTCTTTGTCTATATCATTTTCTTTTTTTCTTCTTCTTTTTTCTTATTCTTTTTCTTCTCTTTTTTTCATCTTTGTCTTTGTGTTGTTTTTTTCTTTCTTCCTTTCTCTGTCTTCCTCTTCTCATAACTTGATCCTTTTTCGTCTCACTTAACAACAATAATAACAATAACAATGACAGTTCAGTGGTTGTGATCATGACAGCAATAGCAACTAAAAGCAACCAGGGAGCGCATACCTCCGCCAAGGCAATAAGGTCACTGATGAAAAATGTGATGAATGCGTATAATCTAAGGAAAATATAAATAAATAAATGAAAAATAAAATAAATAAATATAAAGATAAATTTATCCATAATTTTTTTGCGATATCTTGCTAACCAACGAACAAACATGCTAACCAACGTGACCAAAGACATAATCTCCTTAACTCTCTCTCTCTCTCTCTATCTATCTATCTATCTATCTCCCTCCTCTCTCTCTCTCTCTCTCTCTCTCTCTCTCTCTCTCTCTCTCTCTCTCTCTCTCTCCTCTCTCTCTCTCTTCTCTCTCTCTACTCTTCCCCTCCTCCCTCCCCTCCCTCCCCCCTCCCCCCCCCTCTCTCTCTTTTAACAGAGATAACACACAAAAATACTAATTACAAAACCTTCACCAACACCAC